TGACAGCAGGCAGAGCAGCAGGACGATGGCTGTGGCGTAGATAACAGGGTGAAGAGGTTCGAAGCTGTACGCGTCGTTCCCGGTCCTGTTCAGATCCTGTTAGACAAGAGGATTTCAGCCGATTATATTTGTAATGCATTTCAAATTTTTTTTCTTGTTGAGGATGTGTGAAAAAATATCTAATTACAAACAGGTCTAGAGTCAAAGGCTCACGGTACACATCAACCATGAAGGAAAATTGCACAGCAGATCAATCCAGCACTAAAAACAACCTCTTGAAATAACAAGTAATTACATGATCCTTATCCTATCACAGTCACACAGCAGCATCATATTTATAATTTTCAATTAAATTTCCACTCTTATATCACTAATGACCACTATGATGTTACTCTCACCATGGACCACAAAAGGAATTGTCCAGCAAAATGTTCAGATTCTTTCCATAGACATTCAAAAAAAACAAAAACAACAACAAAAAGCACTATAAAAGTACTACAAGTAACATGTGTGCCAAGTCTTCGAAAGCCCTACAATAGTTTGTTATGAAGAACAGACTGAAATGTACGCCTCTTTGGTCTCTCTCACCATCAGTAAAGCGTAGTTGTTCAGTGAATGGCAGGACATTGTGGTGAAGTTGTCGTCCTGATGGAGGATCCGGCAGCCGTCGCTCTGCCAGCCGCCCTGTCCACCCAGCAGACTGAAGTTCCAGAAGGAAGGAACAGCGTCTGAGCCGTGCAGGAAGCGCCGCAGGGTCGCGTTCACTGGACTCTGCAGGTTCTTCAGCGGGAAGCCCTCTAAACAACAGCAGAATGGATGCTTAATCAGTCTGTGTTACAAAACACAACAGTTCTGGTTGTGGACCATCTTTGATAGGTTATTATTAACATTTATGGTTCCATGAGGAACCTTTAGCATCCGTGGAACCTTTCCATTCCACAGGAGGTTCTTTCTAGTGGAAAGAAAAAATGGTTCTTTTAAAAAAAACTGTTCATTGAAAGGTTCTTTGGGGAACAAAAATGGTTCTATGGCATAACTCCTTTTCAAACCATTGTTCTTAAGATTTTTTTTTTTTTTTAAAGGATCTACTTTTTTGATCTATTTTGATCTACTTCAAATGTCGACTACTATAATTTTTGTTTAGGTTTTTCATCTAATAGTAATAATTTTTTTTTTTTACAATTTTGATATGATATTTTATAATCTTTGTTAGTTTTATCCTATTTAGCTTTAATTTGTTTTATTTTAGTTTTAGAAATTTTAGCACTTCACTTTTATTTCCGTAGTTGTCAATGTAACATTTCTAATTATATGCATTATTTCAATTAACAAAATTTTTTTTAATTAATTTTATTAAGAGCTTGTCATATTTGCTTTACATTTTATATAGATTTACAAAAAAAAAAAAGATTAAAAAAAATTGCTATCAACGTTTGCCATTTATATTACTTTTTTAATATTTTATTTTAACTTATTTTACTTGAGTAAAAGTTGTTTTTTTTACTCATTTGAAATTATAATTTTTTTTTTTATTCAAATTTCCACTCTTATATCACTAATGAATTTATGGTTCCATGAGGAACCTTTAGCATCCATGGAACCTTTCCATTCCACAAGAGGTTCTTTCTAGTAGAAAAGGTTCTTTAGATTATTAAAATGTTCTTCAAACTAAGAAAAAATGGTTATTTTATGAACTGTTCACTGAAAGGTTCTTTGGGGAACAAAAATGGTTCTTCTATGGCATAACTCCTTTTCAAACCATTGTTCTTAAGAGTGTATGATAAAAACACAGTTCATCGCTGACTAGCCAACTAAACGTTTAGTTAGGAAGTACACATATTAAATCCATGTGCATCGCTTGTCCTGAGAGACAATATGAATAGTGCCAGTAGTTCAGTGGCAGATCTTGGACAGTCGGTCCATATCAGATTCTTCTAAACTCTGCAGTTTTTTCATGGGATTGCAATCTCTTTCTGCTCCGCTTAGGCCTCTCGTTGAAATCAATCAGTTTTTCCAGCAGCTCCCTGTGCTGTAGTTTGCCGCCCCCTCACACTTCAGCTGCTCTCCAGCAGCATTATTGCTCTGTTCGTGACACGATGCCTCTTTACCTGCTTGAAGCCAACATGGGGGTGGGATGTATTATAATAGTGCTGCTGTACAGTAAAGATCACATCACAAAAGAAGAAAATAAAAGCACACTGTAAAAATATATTTTTCAAAGAATACTAGAGTATGTTTTACCAGAAAATATAATTTCACTCTTTCCATTTCAAAATGTCATGTTTAATTCAGTGTGTTATTTGCCATTTCTTTGTAATTATATGTGAAATCAAAAAGTAAACAAATAAAAAATATATATTTTTTTTTTCAGTGCAGTCATGTGTTTTTTTTTCTATGCTATTGTGACCTGGTGCAACATTTTCGAGAAAAAAAAAAAATAGTATTTGCGTTAGCACTTTTTTGTTTTATTTAAAAACTTACAAGGCATAATTAAACTTTTATTACCTACTGTAAGTTATACTTCTGTACGAGTGTTATTTATTATCACTGATACACTAATATAGTTTTTGTTAATGTTTTGAATTAGATTAGATTTTTAAATGTTCTGTTTTCACTTTTAGTCAAACTTTTAGTAATTTTGTTGTACTTTTTTTTTTGTCAATTCGTTCGTTTTTTTTTATAGATCTATATAGTTTATTAGCTTACGTTAATTAATGCATTAATTTACATTAACTGTTGTAGCCATTTAAGAAAATTTTTTTGTTTGTTTTATGTTTATGTTTAAATATTATTTGTTTGTGATTTGTTTCAGTTTAATCTGTTAATTATGAAATAATTTTGTGTAATTTGTGAACGTCATAAAGTGCGTGGTAATGAATTGAACGGCAATACGCCGGGAGAAATGGAGCGGGTCAGACAATTTTTGACCACTTCATACGTTTAGTTTGTGGAAAATCCCTTTTTTGAACAAATTTCGTTTTGTATAATTTGTATCTTAATTTTGATACATATTTTTGTTGTTCAACTATCAAAACCAAATAAGAACAAAGAGAAATCTGTGGAATAAAGTGCGTAACAAGACCATTGTTAGTTCATGTTAGCTTATGTCCATTAATTAATATTAATTAATTAATATTAACAGGTACAACTTTGGATTTTAATAATGTATTAGTAAAGATCTCGTATGTATGTCTGATCTCGCCCGAGGCGTTGAGTGTGTTCTTACCGATCTTTGTGAGGATCACAGGTGTGACCACACTCCTCCTCTTACTGCCATCGCTCAGGAGGGTGGAGTTGCCCGTCGGAGGAAAGAGTTTGCCGTTGCGGAAGGCCAGCAGGTGTAGCTTATAGACGGCTTCATCAGCCTGACCTGAGCTTCCCAGAGACGAGAAGAGAGACGGGGGAAGCTGGAGAGACGCCTCCACGATAGTGTTCTGCAGACGTGGAGATGCAATAACGTTAGTGTCAGAACATGATGGATATATTCCTGCTTCCACAGCTTTATTGGAGTTCTCGCCTTATAGGTTATGACAAATCAACTGTATACGTACAGGAAGTAGGCTTGCTGCGATAGACGGAGTTGACGGTGATACCGAAGCTGTCACTTGCCCACCGCGGCATCGTTTTGATTTTTTATAGTAATAAAAATAATTTAGTTCATTTAGAGAACAGACACTGCGATTAAAAACTGAACGCGGCTGCTCATTGCAGCGTGCCGAACGACGTCAGATTTCATTTATCACGTGAGGAGAGTGAGGTGAGACAGACGAGACGATAGCGAATGATTTAGTTTCGAAACGAAATGCAAAAGCGCCTGTTTGGCAGTATTTTGAAAAGCCTGTTGACTTTTGCCGTTTATCTAAGGTGATTTCGGAAGTTTTTTTTAAACACTCGTTTCTTTTTTTAATTGGTTCTACAGTGTTTGCTGATTTTTACTTTATTTGAACTTTGTGTAATTTATTTATTTATTTTAATTTGCCATCAAGGTGTATGCCGCGCCTCCAAGCTTTCTTATTCGTTTTGTTTGCTAATAAACGTTCTACGTTTCTTATTTATTTGGTTCCACGGTGTTTACTTGTTTTCAGTTTTGTATACCTATTTAAACTTAAGTTATTTGTTATTTTATATTAGGCCTAGCCTATAGCATGGTGTATTTTTATTCGTTTTGTTAATAATAGTTCTATGATTTATAAATAGGTTCTATGATTTAAAAAAGTAAGTTTGGCGTTGTATTTTGTTGTTTGTTGATGCCGAATTGCTGCTAATTTGAAAGTGAAAGTAATATACGCACGCCACATTTACAAGCTATTTAAATCTATTTATTCACTTTTTAACACCATGCCAGCATCAAGGCTATCTTCATGGCGATCTCTGAATAAATTATACAAGGTATACAATTAACAAAAAGACATTTCAAATCTACACTAGACAAAAATTATAAAATACATTCAGGTGATAAATTTTTAAATAAATCAGTTAAACACACCTCTGAATAAAACCGTTGCCTATTTACATTAAAAACAGTACAATCCAATTCAATATGCTTCACAGTCATTTTAGTTTGGCAAGTAAGGCATGATGGTGGTTCTTCACCTTTTAATAAATATCCAAGTGTAAGTCTTGTATGACCTAAAGGACACCTTGTAAAAACAACTTGGTCATACCTAGATTTAAAATGAGTAAAAAATATTTTTCTTACACTAGGATTTATTTCATATAGCTTATTTTCGTGACATTCACCCCATTCCATCTGCCACATGTCATTAATATAAGAGTTTATCACAGGTTCTTTTTTTAATTGGTTCTACAGTGTTTGCTGATTTTTACTTTATTTGAACTTTGTGTAATTTATTTATTTATTTTAATTTGCCATCAAGGTGTATGCCGCGCCTCCAAGCTTTCTTATTCGTTTTGTTTGCTAATAAACGTTCTACGTTTCTTATTTATTTGGTTCCACGGTGTTTACTTGTTTTCAGTTTTGTATACCTATTTAAACTTAAGTTATTTGTTATTTTATATTAGGCCTAGCCTATAGCATGGTTTATTTTTATTCGTTTTGTTAATAATAGTTCTATGATTTATAAATAGGTTCTATGATTTTAAAAAAGTAAGTTTGGCGTTGTATTTTGTTGTTGCTTGAAATGCATTCAAGCAATTGATGCCGAATTGCCGCTAATTTGAAAGTGAAAGTAATATACGCACGCCACATTTACAAGCTATTTAAATGTATTTATTCACTTTTTAACACCATGCCAGCATCAAGGCTATTTTCATGGCGATCTCTGAATAAATTATACAAGGTATACAATTAACAAAAAGACATTTCAAATCTACACTAGACAAAAATTATAAAATACATTCAGGTGATACATTTTTAAATAAATCAGTTAAACACACCTCTGAATAAAACCGTTGCCTATTTACATTAAAAACAGTACAATCCAATTCAATATGCTTCAGTCATTTTAGTTTGGCAAGTAAGGCATGATGGTGGTTCTTCACCTTTTAATAAATATCCAAGTGTAAGTCTTGTATGACCTAAAAGACACCTTGTAAAAACAACTTGATCATACCTAGATTTAAAATTAGTAAAAAATAATTCTTACACTAGGATTTGTTTCATATAGCTTATTTTCACAGAGATAAAATAGTTACTGTGTTTATATACTCATTACCATGTTATGCCAAAGGGTGAGAGTGAGAATGAAGAATTTAGAAAAGAAAGAGAGAGATCTTACCCAAGCCGTGTGTTCCCGCAGGTAGCATCCTTTATACTCTATGCTGTTTGGGTGTTGTATTCTCTGGAGGAACTTGACTTCCTTTATAATATCCTGCCATTTCTAAGTAAAGACAAAACAGCATTAAATCAAACAGTCTTCTTTCAAATGAGCCACAAAAGACTACAATGAATTTCCTATTTTCCACCAGATCACTGCATCCACTGCTGACATGAGCAGACTGGACATACTGACTTACTGGTACAGGTCCTGAAAAGGAAAGTCAGTCCTAAAAGCTTCTGAAGGATTCTTTGTAGAGATTATGTGTAATCCGATTACTGCTAATCTGAAATTACAAAGGAAACGCTGCCACCAGCTAAAGTATGAATGGCCGTGGTGCTTCACTTCAATCTGTGTTGTTACCAGGGCTGGGGAGTAACGAAATACACGTTACGTATATAAAATACAAAATATGAGTAACTGTATTTCATTATAATTACATTTTAAATAGGTGGTAATGAAATTACAGTTACATCCGAAAAGTATTTTAGATTACCAAAGTGATTACTTTGAATTTTAATGTCATTTTTTAATTTAATATTTAAGTAAACAGTTTGGGGATTTTAACCAATAAGGCAACTGATTGTCCGTTGAAAAAAAACAAAAAAAAAACCCAGCATGCAGCAGCCTGTTCATTTAGCAACTCGTAGTGAGAGTGCATACGCTCATCATCACGACACAAAAATGGACGACACAACAGAAAGTCATTCGCGTAATGCATTTCTCTCGTGGAAATAAAAAGACTATTTTACTTATAAATCTGAAAAAGGACGTAACATCTCAGCGCAATGCCTACCTGCAACAAAACTTCTATCCGCATCGAAGGATTCAACAAGGCATCTTGAGGGAAGTTGTTCTTGATCTTTGAAAATGTTTATCCAGTAACTCGTTTTTCTATTTTCTCATATTTTGAGTGTTGAATAGTTATCATTACGTTTAATATTTCTAAGAATTTAATTGAAAAATGACAACGAATTCTCCTAGAATTCACACTTTGCATTCAGTTAACAGATCCATACGAATCATGCATGAAACAAAAGTTTATGAAGTCAAACGATAGCTTTGTGTGCTTTACAGATGAACTTGAAGTCTTTATTCATTCGAAATGTTCAAGAATAGATTATCTTTGGCGCGGTAATGCGAGTTCATGATCCGATTCGTGAACAGATGATT